CTTCAGTGCAGGTGGAAACCTCTGCCGTCACGTACGAAAGGCCAGCCGTATGTCTGAATAGTCACGTGCAAGTGCTGGTAACACTCTGCTTAGGCCCGCCTTACACTGGCAAGTAGCCCAGCTCAGCCACGTGCAGTAGCTTGTCTTCCTGCAATCACAGGTTTAAATTCATGCAAGGAAGAGGAGCGGAATTAATCACAACCTAATAATTGATACTTCCTGACAGCAGATGTAAAATGGGGGGTGGTGCAAGGGTAACAGGCATAAATTACAAGATTTTCTTAAAAACACAGAACCTAGCTAATGGCAATACCTTTGCTGTGGCAGTGGCAACTGATAGAACCATCTAGAAGGCACACAAATACAAGTTAATTGTTGTTAAATAGACAAAGCTCATGGCATATTATACACTATGGAAAACATTGCAAAAATGCACATTTTGGCTGAAAGAAAAGCTTAAAAAATCTACAAAGCACATATTGCTGTTATTTTCTCTGCAGTTTGCAACTTCTAAAGCTGGGGGACAGATCTAACTAGTGAAAGAGAGAGACAGCATCAAAACTCTTTCAATGGGTGCTTTTTTCCCCTCAGTCTCTGGACCACATCACGCCAGCTTATTGTCATCTACAGTCAACATGAGTGTGATTTTTGATGTATTCTCTCCTGTTAACAAATGTGAAGACCAACATTTACCATAAACTACACGTGAGAGAATTTTGTCCACACACAAACAAAACCATCCCACATTGTTAAGGCGCTGTAGTGCAACCTTTAGAGCCAAAAAAGAAAAACAAACCCACATCAGTCACCGCACAAGCTTCAGCTTGTCTACACAAGCTTGTCTGCGGTCTTCAGCCTGCACTGCAGGTGCTACCTGCACTACAGAGGGATGACAGCTCATGAAACGTTAGCTTCATAGAGCCTTAGATATATCCTTTTTAGCAGATGAAACTAGGACACTGGGATTTCATTACAGTTTCTCAACCAAAAAAACAGAGAACTTCATAGAGGTGTGCCCTAGTTTAGTTGTTTCTTTTGGGATGGGTTCTTTGATAGCATTTTAATTTGAAATCTCTGTTTTCCCATGTATGTGTAGCTGATCAGATGAAGCATTACAGGAGAGAAGAGAGAAAGACACTGAAGTAGTTCAAGTGCTAAGACAGCAACCAAAATGACAGCTCGAGCCAGGTGGTTTGTCAGCCCCCCGTGCATCCTTTACAAAGCTCTTGTGCGAAGCAGTCAGAGCTGTCGTAGCCAGTTCTGCGCAGAGCTACTCCCCACTCTGCACACTGGTCTCCTCTGCCTAGCACAGGGGTCTGACACGGCTGGGAAGATGTCACCGTGAGGATATTGCTGGAAGAAGAATGGCAGAGGCTGGAAACCAGCGGGGTTTGCAAACTGTACTGTGCCTACACATAGGCCATGTGCCTGTCGCTCGACCAACAAGACAGACGCTGCTAGTTTAGCAGACCTGGGCTCCTCACAGGAGCTTCCAAAGTACCAAGAGAGCACGAGCAGAAGGAAGTGTTGGCTCTGGGCTGCTTGGGTAAGGGGAGCATTAATCATGTTTTTTGAGTCTCAGATGCGTCAACCTGATGTTATTTTGGGGATCTCTGGTAGCGCTCTTGTGTCGCGTTTCACGCCAGACTTGACTGTAGGGCAGCGGAGGGCTTAATTCCACGGGGTCGAGCACGGTGATGTGTTACTTGCTCGACATACTAGGGGCAAGAACGGCACTGCCTACGAAATTAATTCGGTTTATCAGCACGGCTAGTGCTTTCGTGCAGGCAGCAGCATCTTGCCCAGCATCAGGGAGCGTCTGCCTAGCGTGGGCAGGTAACACTGGTGGCGCTCGCTGGTCAGCGTGCCGGCCTTCCCGGAGGAGGTGCGGGTGAGCAGGGGAGAGCCGGGGTACGCCCAGCACGGCAGCGTGCGCCTAAGGGACCGCCGCGCTGGCGAAGCGTGGTGTTTGCGCTGTGTCAGGTTTTGTGCTGTCACTCGGACACGCGTCCGACTCCGCCGTCTCCGGTGTTCAACTTCTGCAAAGGAACGTGACAAGGTACTTCCGCCGGCCTCTTGCTTCCTCCTGGGGCAGGGAAGGAAGGGAAGCATTTCGGGCAGGGATAGGCGCTCCCTCGGCCGAGCGCCTCCCCGACCGAGTCCGTACGCCAGGAGGCACCCTGCAAGCCCAGTGGGCACCAGGAGAAGGGGGGCGGCGGGACGGCGCGTCCTGCCCGCCGGAGCACCACTGCGTCCCCACGCGTGCTTTGCCCTTCCTGCGAGCAACTCCGCTCCGCCGGGGCAGTTACCACGCAGCGGTAAGTTCTTCCCCGGGAGCTCCGCCGCCGGGGTAGTCCAGCCCGGCCCACCGGGGCTCGGGCACCGCCCCGCCGAGGGGGAGCCGGGGCCGGTAAAAGGGGATGGCCTGAGAGTGAGCCCCGTTCTGTTAGTGCGCCTGCGCACTACCTGCGTGTCTGTGGCCGTGACGAGAGCCCGCCCCGCGCTCACCCGCTCGGCCCGGGGGCGTCTCGGCGGGAGCTGCGTGAGGTGGGGGCGGGCGAGGGCGCTGGCAGCGCCCGGCACTCTCTGCCGGCGGTCCGGGGACTTTCCCCTAGGCGGGCGCGGGGCCCTTGAGGAACCAGTGTCCTCCGTGCGTGGCCTAGCGAGCAGGTCTTCAGAACATCCCGGCGTCCTAACTTCGCCCCCGCCGCCTTATATGAGGCACCAGGCGGGAGGCCTTCTCGGACAGAGCGAGCTGCGTCCGCCGGTCCCCGTTTCCCCCTTGCTGGACTCCGCAGGGGGCGCACAGACAGGGAGGCCGCCGGCCGCCCTGGAGGAGCGCCACGCTCGCGGATGGGCGCGATACCGACCCCACGCAGGGAACGGTGCCGCCCCGGGAATATATTAAGCAAATTGAGCGCCGCGGCTCCGCCCCCGAGGCGGGCAGCCCGAGCGGCTGCTGGGCGCCGAGCCGCGCCC